CCATGAGTATAATTCTTATGTTCATTTTAAAAATTTTTTATTTTAGAATAAAGTTATGATTGTGATCAGAAAAATATGAAAATTGTGATTTTAGTGGAGAAATTTTTTATTTTAGGGAGGTTTATGTGATTTTGAACATTTTCATTTTTTAGATTTATTAATCAGTGATCAAGAACAATTTATCGAAAAAATTATGATTTAAAGATTTTATAAATAGAAAATTATGATAGATTACTAAATTTTAATTAGAAAGTTTCAAATTGTTGATATATTTCGTACTTATAGATTTTTAGTTAATTATTTTTTTTTTATTTGAAGTAAAATTTCTCTTTTTTGATTAAAAGAAAAATCAAAATTTTATATTTATAATCTAACTGCAACCGTCCGTCCGCAACCGCAAACGCTCGAGGGAAGCAGTTTTTGGATTTGAGAAGTTTGGAGCAACACGAAGCGGTATAATGATTTTCCATTATTGTTATCAAACGCCAGCTACCGTCCGCAAACGCAACATTTACGGATGATAGCGGGTGAACCAATCAAACACTTAATAGAAGGGAATATTGAGCCGATCATTTGAGTAATTGTAAGCTTAATCGGTGTTGATTTGTCAAACACTTTGATAATGGAATTTGTTAACCAATAATTTAAGTTAAACTTTCGATACATCTTGGTTGTTTGTTTCATCAACATATTCCATGTTCTCTTATTTAGATAAGATATAATATTTGTCTTCTTTTTCCCATCATCACCAGATTATTTGACGCTTTTTTCTTCCATTTTTCCCTTAAATCCATATACTTTGAGTAGGAGTGTACTGCCCACGACATCTGCTACGGTTTCAAATGTATCGTCGACTTTTTCTTAGAGCTTGTGTTTATAGACAAATAGTGATTTTTTTTTTTGAAAAAGACAAATATATATGATGCATTATAAAAGTTAAAAAGACAAATAGTGATATGTCTGAAAAAGAAGATTATAAAAGTTGTATTCTTGATATCTTATTTTTTTAACTTTGATGAAAAAGAATAGCTACGCAAAGAAACAAATAGTGATGCATTCAAATGTTTTTTTTTATATAACCATAAGGTGATCCGCATTCAAATGTTCTACGATACTATATTACAAAGGTTGCATATTTATCAAGATGACTAAAATGTATGATAAATTTTAGAAATGTAATAATATACATATCAAGTACACTTCTCCAATCTGGAGGTTCGAGTTAAAGAAGCACATGATGATCTTTTATCTCAACAGCAGCAATTACTCGCTGACCCCTCTCCTATCTTGGCTGGTTTAAAAAGAGATGCTCAAGCAAAACTTAGAACTTTGTCAATTGCAGAGGAACGCTTTCTATTGCAACGTTCTCGGGTCAACTGGTCAGGGTTTGGGGATGGTAATTCAGCTTATTTCCACAGGGTCGTCAACGCTAGAAGAGCTGCAAACCAAATCCATTACCTTGTCAAACCTACGGGGGAGAGAGTGGAGGTCCTTGATGAGGTTAAAGCTTACTGTGTGGATTACTTCTCGGATATCTTGGGCGGTTCTTCTAACCCAATTTCAGAGGAGCAAGCAGAACAGATAAGGCTTTCCACTCCTTTCAGATGTACTGACGCGGCAAAGTTGATGTTGGTTGTAGATGTCAGTTCTGAGGATGTGAAGCGAGAAGCATTTGCCCTGCCTTCTGGGAAATCGCTT